GTATGCAGTATTCAGTATTCAACCTTCATTGAAATAGCTGTATGATCAAATGCGCGTAAATGTTCTGTTCTGTTCTGATGTTGATTAATAATAAAAATAATAATTTATTGACTTATATTACGCAGTTATCAATGTAAAACTTCAGCTGCGCTTTACAATGCAGTTTATATCTTTTTTTTTTACAATATTTTTACATCTTTTTTTTTTAAGTTTGAAAAATCTACAACTATGAGTATTGATATAAAAAATTAGTATAGTTGAAAGATATATAAATATGTTTGTGAAAACGAAGAAAATAAGAAAAATGTATAATAATATAATATTAGTTCAGAAACGCCTTCTGGAACGAATGTGTCTTAAGAGATTTTTAGAACGTTAACTACTACAACAGCCATCTTTATCATCATCGTTATCCCTATCACTATGTTAACCTGCCGAAATGACCTGCAAAATTTGCATATGCAAAACCTTGATTTTTTTTTCATATCAATAAAGCTTTTTATTCAATGTCCAAMAAGAAAGAATCGAGAGAATCAAGCAACCTGCTGTTTACCTGCATGTAAATTCTCCTAACCTTACAATATAGGAAAATGACAAACGAATAGGAGAATATGGACTTTCATCAGGACCATCTTGTCATTTCAAAAAATCTTTAGCCTTTTGGGAAATTGCGAACAAAAGACAACTCGATATTTCAAAAACTAACATTTCATGGGAAAGATAAAATAGGTAAGTAAGATATAAAGATCAACTTGCTAAGATTATTTCTCCTTTTCTAAAGTTGCCGAAATGTTTTAGGACTTTTGAAAGGGTTTATGAGATATTTTGTTACGAAGTTTACGAGTTTCGCTTCATTTTGGACAGTCTAGCACTTTGTTTGTCGCCATTTACTCATACTTTTTAACTATACATTTTTTAAAAATAGTTCTGCGTTTTAAATACAAGCAAAAGGGTAGAATATGTCGGCACAGAAATTCAGCCTTCTTCCATTGCAAAGAGATCCCCCCTAGAAAATATCCCTTCATTCACATGCGGTTCTACTTAAATTTACAGAAAGAAAAATGTGGGTTTTTTGTCTGTACTCAAATGAAAAGTTTTCTTTTTATTAAAACTATCAAATTATACAAGCGTAAAACTAGATATCGCAGAGAATTAGTCATTATTATCTTAAAATAATTCGGTTATAGCTGGTGACGAAAAGCTATAGTTTAGAGTAACGACCACTTGTTTTTTTTGTTGTTTTTTTTGTTGTTTTTTTTGTTGTTTTTTTTTTGTTTTTGTTTTTGCGACTGAATTATTTTTTGAATTCCTGTGTCTTTCAAATTCTAATTCTTCATTTGAAACATTATCGATATTTTTATATTGTGAAGTTCCCGATTTTTAAGAATTTTTAACATTTTAGTTTAATATTATTGTAAAAAATCTGAGGAAAGAGCAAAATATTACGTCAAATTCGTTGGAAAAAGTAGTCCAAGTCCACTTCATACAAACTTTTTTTCTTATTATTAATATATATATCTCTTATTTTATCCCTTTGTTTCGTGTTTATAGTCCATCTCCAGGAAGATTAATATTCAAAAATTATTTACAAATAAATGTAAAGTCTTTTTAAACTAATGGTTTATAGAATCGTGAACTTTACTTAAGTACACAAGATGTTCCCCAATTTAAGGCACATCTTTATTTATGTCTCAAGGACCTTGGTATTTCGTTGAAGTTTAATGGCAATAAGTTATAGACTTTATTATCTCTTTTCTTTGATAGAAATGAAGGAAGCATGGCCTAATCTTGGTAATGCTGCAAATTTTGAAATCTCGTTTTGAGATCTTCGTGCCAAAGAAGTATTAAATGACGAGTTTTTAACATGGAGATCCACGTGACTCTAGCTTYATTGCTAATAATCTACCCAGAGAGAACAGGTGAGTGATAATCCAATATTCCAAATCCCTTTAGTTACCGYTGCTATGCACCACAAGCTCAGCATATAGCTAGAAAAGTTCAGGATTTAAAACTCAGTTYGCAGAAAAGTGATTATAACTTGTTATAGTTGTTTACTGCCTTGTTAAGATATAATAAATTGGCTCGTAATCATTGTAGTACTAATTAAAACAGAAAATAGTCTGTAGCTTTTCGCACAAGATRGTTTCAATGTGAAAACTGCTACAACAGTTTTTGACCGGTTCGCTATGCTGAACCTTGAGTTACCCTCAAATGTGAATGGGAATTGCGAGTAATATTATGAAAGATTATATATCTATGCTGTATGGGTGGTCAGTGGACATAATATCGCTGTAAAGGCGTTTTATCCGACCTAGTTTATGGTMGATGAATTCATGAAACTTCCCTCAAACAACTTTTTTTCATGTGCCCATCAACTCTATATTCGTATTTGATAAGCTTACCTTGTTTGAAAGAGAATATAGATTTCTTTGTGGTGATTTCCCAGTCATTTGAAGTTTTAAAATGTTGAAAATATGGATCAAAACTTGCAGATGTTACAGCGAATAAACCCTTGAACGTTTCCTCCATCTTGAGAAACTAACCTATAACCTGGCCTTTGACAAAGGAAGCCCAAAACATTTAAAACCACAGGGAACCCGTGCTATTGATTCCTTAGTTGCTGGTGAGGCTGTAGTTTTCAGCCGAAATATTTTTACAAGAAATTTAAGTTATATAAAACTCCTTTACGTTGATTATTTTATATCTATCTAATAAGAAAAGCGAAGAAAACATAGAAATTAATGTTTGACCAGGTACAAGATTCTGGTCACCCATCCAGGTACGAATCTTACCTACCGGGCTTGACTCAGTAACTTTTTGAGCCCACATTTTCCCCACTAGGCCACGATTACAATAAATTCGCACAACAATAGCGGTGAAACAATGCACCGGATAGACTAG